TCTGTTTTTCATTAAACAGACATTTGTTTGGCTTCTACCGTGTGTAGCCTTGTGCATTGTGATGGATGTGAAAATTGAATAAGCCATAATCTTCTTCAAAGAATGCACACGCCGGAATCAGGAAGCTAAAACTTAGATTAATGCTATGCAAGGTCAAAGGAAGGAAGTGCTTCAGAGGGAGGGAGGGAGGGCCTGCCTTGGTGGAAAGATGGAAGAAAGGCTTGGGGGCCGCAGGGTTTTCACCAGAGTCAGACAACATGGTAGGACCTTCATCCAACAGACAAGATCCAACCACTGGACAACCAATTGTCACACAGAAGAACTCCAGGCCCAGAAATGGGACCCTGGGGACCAGCCAAGCCCCAAGGAGATGGCAGGGAAGGAAGGTGAGATGAGGAAAGCACCTGGCAGGGGATCTGAGTGTGTGATTAGATTAGTCTTGGGACTGGCAAAGCCTCCCCTGTGCCTTTTTGAGCCCAGCCATCGGGTGCCCACACTTCTCTTTGAAAGGGTTTGGTGTCTGTGAACCTAGACATCTTTCAATAATGATTTAAGTCATTCAAAAAAGTGAGGGCCCTGGAGTGAAGAGACGAAAGGAAAGGGAAAAAACTCTGCTTGGCGGCCTTGTTCTGTTTGATCTCCCAGACAGCGGGCAATAACGGAAGAATGCTGGAATTGGGGATGGAGGTGGTTGGATTCCAAGCGACGGCCTCCTCCTGGAGCTAGGTCTGCTGTTCGGACTTGCAGACTTCAAACATGACTTGGGGATTCCTGGAAGACAAAAGAATTCAGGGCCGAGCCTTGGATCTCAGTCAAAAATAACTCATGTCTTCATTTCAGGCAGGTAAAGGCGGCGGCGGCGGCGGCAGCGGCGGCAGCGGCAGCCCAGGCCTGGCTTGCCGGCTCCTCAGAAGACAGGGGCTACAGGTGTGCTGAGAGGGTCAGTTTAGATTTGCTGTGAAGAGAGAAGGAGCCTTGAAGGGGTATGGCCCTGGCTGCAGATGATAAGAAACCCACATGTAAGAGGTTATGATAAAAGCTGCCCTTTTTATCCTGCCTGCCATTTGCTTTGAGTGTTAATTACAGCCCTTCATGTTCCTTCCCTGGCTTCTCATTAGCTATAGGTATCCACACACAAACAGCTTGCTTCCATGCCTCTTCCTCCCCCAGGAGTTCCTCCTGGCTTCCCCTGCCCCTTCAGTACAGGGGTTGGAGCCCAGGGTGGTATGCATGCTAGGCCAGTACTCCGCCAATGACCCACACCCTGAGTCCCTTCTGGCTTCTCAATGACAGCCAGACTGTTCTAGCTCTGAACTCCAGCTTCTCTCCCCTTAGAGGGTGTGTTTGAGAGACAACCCCCTGACATTCTCCCTGCCATGTTATGCCACTGGGTTGTCTAATTTTCTTCCAAGACATCAGGCTTGGCTCTTTCCTGACAGTCCATAGTCTCAGCACCTTGGCCAGGGGCTGGCAAATAATGGACACTCACAACATGTTAGTTGGAAGTTGCTATTGAACAGCTGCCAGCTTTAATCCTCCTAAAACGCTGCTTGGGTTAGAAGCTGACCGATTCTCCATCGCCTGCTGGGCAAGGGCCAGCCTCCTCTGACCACAGTAAGGACGTGGTCCTCCTCACTGGCTTTACCAGCCTTTTTTGTGTCCATCCACTTAGCTGTTCCCCGTCAAGGTCTGCCACAGTCTGACCTATCTTTACCACACCATCCCCTCCATGCAGGAACCCTTACACACCCTATCCCAAAGCTGCCCCGTTCTCATAGCTCATCTCAGCAACCCCCGGCCCTCCAGGTTTCAACATCTCTTCCCCCAGTGCTATGACTTAGATAACAAAAATTCCCCCGAAGGTCCGTGGATTAAAGGCTTGGTCCCAGCTTGGAGCTCTTGGGAACTTTTAGGCATGGGGCCCTGGGACAGTTCGTTATGTCCTTGGGGCTCATTCTTTGGTTGTGGGTCCCCAGTCTCTCCTTCTCCTGCTCTTGTTCTTCCCGGCCATTAGGTGTGCAGTTTTACTCCACAAACCCTGCAGCATGCTGCCTCACCATAGCCCCGAAGCAACAAGTCCAATCAATCACGGGCCTCCAAAAGTGTGAGCCAGAATACATCGTCCCTCACCTCTCCATTTTTGAAGACAGAATCTCACAGTGTGTATAGCCTTGGCTGGCCTGGAATTTACTGTGACGACCAGGCTGGCCTCAAACTCATAGAGATCTACCTCCTTGCCTCTGCCTCCCAAGTGCTGGGGTTAAAGGTGTGCACCACCACATCGGCTAAACCTTTTTTCTTTATAAGGTGTTTGTGTCAGGCATTTTGTTAGACTGGCAGAAAGTAGGCTAGCATACTCAGGATTTTACCTCATTCTCAATTGCTAAGTCTGTTTTGTTGGGAACTTCAAAAGAGGTCATGGAGCTGTGGGTACCGCTTAGCAGTAAAGGACTTGCCTAGCATGTATGAAGTCCAGGGTTTGACTGCAGTAACACACACACACACACACACACACACACAAAGGCCAATCAGCTTGGTTTGCTGCCATCTCTCACTAGACTCTATGCATGGGCTCAAGGCAGACTCCATATGTGTTGCCCCGACTTCCTATGGTATGCTGCTGAGTGAAAGAGGCCATTCCTTTCTCTGTCTTTATCAGAATGTTCCAGTGCTCTGGGTGCCTTATGTTGGAATGGGACAAAAGCTACCAGACAGTCAGGTTATTCTATTCCTTGAAGGCTTCAGGTCCCGTTGCCTGCTGGGGGGTACATGGTACCTAGCTGCAGGTTCCCTTGGAGTTAAGAGATGGATCAGGTTGTCTGGGGAAGCTGGGTATTTCTGAGGACAAAAACTCAGGTTTGCAGAGATTGGATGTCATGGACGGTCTTAATGGTTCCCAAGTCCAAATAGCCATTCTCCTTCCAGCAGAGATCTCCTGCTGGGGTGGTTCCTGGGGGGACCCAGGGTTCTTTCCTAAGAGGTTTGGGGAGCACTAGCAAGGTTAAACACCTGTTCCTAGGGGCAGCAGATGGTATTCTCAGGTCCTTCTCCCCTGTGTCTTCACTGCTGATACTCATGTGACCTCTTCTATAGACAGTACCTCCCCTGTTCCTGTCCTCAAGCCAAATTCCCTTTGAACTACAGTTAGAAGGATTTATTTATTTAATACTGTATGTGTCTGGGTGTTTTGTCTGCATGTATGTCTGTGTACCATGTGTGCAGAGCCCATGGAGGCCCGAAGAGGGGGTCGGATCATCTGGGACTGGAGTTACAGTTGTGAGCCACTAGGTGGCTGCTGGGAATCAAACCTGAGACCCCTGAAGTGGTGCCAGTGTTCTTAACTGCTGAGCCATCTCTCTCCAGCCTCTATTTATTTATGAATGAGATGAGGTCTTACAGGCAGGCCTGATGTGCAGATCTATAACCCCAGCTACCTGGGGGGCCGAAGGGCTGAAGCAGGAAGAGTCACATTTTTTAAAATTTATTTATGTATACAGTGTTCTGCCTGCATGTGTCCCTGCAGGCCAGAAGATGGCACCAGATCTAATTACAGATGGTTGTGAGCCACCATGTGGGTGCTGGGAATTGAACTCAGGACCTCTGGAAGAGCACTGGCTGCTCTTAACCACTGAGCCATCCCTCCAGCCCGGAAGAGTCACATTTTAAGGCCAACTTTAGCAACTTAATGAGACCCAGTCTCAAAATAAAAGTGAAGAGAGGAAGGGAAGGAGGGAGGGAGAGAAAGAGAGAAGGCTGTATTGCCCTGGTCTAATATACAGCATCCTATGGGCTCAAATAAACTCCGGCCTCAACCTGGGTCTGAAGGCTCCTGCCACTGCATCCAATCAGGAGAGGGTTTTTTTTTTGTTTTGTTTTGTTTTGTTTTGTTTTTGTTTTTTCCAAGTGTTATCATCTGGTTCACTGGTCTTCCATACTGCTCTTGGGATACAAACCAAACTCCATTCTCAGGAAACTAGCCGCGCCCATATCCCTCTGCCTAGCAGCCCTCATATCCCTCCGCCTAGGCGGGCCTCTTCTTTTGATACCTTATTCTAATTCCAACCATGCCAACCAAATCTCTTGCTGGTTTCCTCCCAGGCTGCATGCTGTCCCCTCTGCCTGGATTGCTGTATCTCCTTCCACACGGCCTAGTTACAGAAGCACTTCCTTGGGGAAGACCTCCTGGATCCCCGAGGACCCTCCTCTTCCCTTCAGCCTGTATGACCCCCCCACCCCGGGCTTCTGTGGAATCCAAGACTTGTTGAACATGGCTGTGCCCCCACTCAGCCCCACCTCCACGTGCTCGCCCAATCAAACCATTTATGGAGGGCAGAGTTTGTGTCTTACGTGAGTCAGTACACATCTCCGTGTAATCTCAAAGATCTCCCCTAGTATTTAATAAGAACTCAATAACTATTCAGATTTCACTGAGCCTGCAAAGGTACCTTCCCCAGGAGGGGGTGACTGAACTCAATGTGTTGCTAAGAGCTGTCCGTGCACCCCCATATATCCTGTCCCGTCCCCCCCCAAGAGAAAGTATAGGGGAACAGCTAGGGGTCAGTGGGTGCTGGGCTGCTGGACATCTCTGCAGAGTGGCCATCTTTTCCATGCACCTGTCTCTCTTTCCAGTTCCCCTGGAGCCAGGCTTTCTGAGCTATCTCTGCCGTAAGTCTGAGTATAACAGAGCCAGCACCATGCATGTTTTGTCAAGTCAACGGTAGCAGGGCTGGGAGAGGCAGGGACCCGGGCCTCAGGGCCTCCTGCAATGGCTTATCCTCTTGAGCTTCTTTCCACAAGGAATCCAGCCTCTCTTCTGTCCCCTGAAGGCTGTTTTCAAAATCACACCCCCATGCAGACAGTTTTATTTACAAGGAAATCTTGGCAGGATCTTGACTTGTTAGTAGAGTAGGGGATGGGGGAGGGTGGCGAGAAACAAAAATAGTTGAAATGATCACACTTTCTGAAACCGAGATGAAAATTGGTGTCTGTTGCAAACTCACCTAATTAGGATGGAACTAATTTCCCTCTGTGTTTAAGGGGAGTAGTCAGCGCTGGGCGAGAGGGTCACAGGTTGGATCCTGGGGCTGCGAGATGCAGTTACATTTGTCTTATGAAAATGAAGACGTTAATTGCAACTTCTGCTAATAAAACAGATGCTTCCTTCTGACAGGACGGCGAGAAGAGCGAAGCTGATGGGAAGAGGCTAAAGGTCATAGCCTTGGTTCTGTCTGTGGGCTGCCTGGGGGACCGCACCAGGAATGAGTCCCTGAGCCTTCCTTGGGGAGCGTCTACCCCAGCCTGGGCACTGGCACAAATTATAGTCATTCGGGAGGAACGTCTTCCTCGAGGGCTTTTCCCGCAGGTAAACTGCCCTCCACTCTTCTCTTTAAGGATCCTTTACTGCTTTACTAACTTCATTCCTGCTTTTTAGTTTTAGTTTTTTTGTCTTTCCTCCCCAGCCCCTCTCTCTGGCGGGGCGCTTTCCTGGGGTTTAACAGATCAAGAAGCGTGAGCAGGATTTACAGCTCTGGATGGAGGGAGGGCAAAGGTTAGGGTTTGGGGTTCCAGACCCCCTGACGTTCCTCGCATCCCTAGGCTTTCCCAGACCTCCCAGAATCCGAGACGGCAGTGAATAAGGGACCTAAGGGTGGCTGGTGGGATCCAGTCCTCACATCTCACTCTCCATTCTGTCCTGGTTAACCCCGACGTGGCCAACTTCGTGGGAACCTCACTTCTGAATCCGTCACACACTCTGCCGCCTCCGAGTGACGGTTAACCGGTGGCCGAGCAGAGCAGGCTGAGGGCAACGCAGTCCCTATCCCTGGGCTGGAGGAGCAGCCACTCGCTGCCCGCCCCGCCGCAGCCCTCTCTCCCTCCTTCCCTCCCTCCCTCCCTCCCTCCCCGCGGGCGGC